GGGCCAGGGTCGGGGCACCCGCGCAGCAGCGGCACCAGGTACCCCATGGCGACCTCGCGCGCCGCCTCTGGGAGCGCGCCCCCACCCTGGGCCCCGCCGCGCGCCTCGTCTTCCTCCAGCCGCTGCAGGAGAAAGCGCAGTGTCTCCACGCGCTCCGCGGATGCCTCCCCGCGGCACAGGGCCCGGAGCAGAGCCTGAGGGTCCCGGCTCTGGGAGAGCAGCAACTCCGCGAGCACTCCTTCCATTTGCCCCCGCGCGCGCCGCCGTCGGGCCCTCGGGGACGCGATTGCGTGCGCGTGTCCGGACAGCGGGCGCGTGCGCGCCCTGGGCCCTCCGCCTGCTTGTCTGTCTGGGACTCTCAGGCTCTTCCGTTTCTTAAGTGAGCTGAGCCCCTAGGGAAACGTTCATGCAGTGCCTGCACCACCGCCATTGGTCCCCGACTGGAGATTGGCACACCCAGGGCCCTGAGCCGGTCAGGCGAGCGTGTGCCCCCAAAGTTCGCAGGGAAGGGGTATACCGCAGTCCCCTGGGGGTGCGTTTTCAAAAGGTGCACGCTAGCACCGTGCTGGAGACACTGGGTCTGAAGTGCATTCTGGACCCTCACGTTAAAGGTAGTAACAAGCCCCGGAGTAAGAGGCACAGCCAGGGCGGGAGCTGCGACTGCGTGCAGGCCCGCTGGCGCAGGGCAGCTACGGCCCTCACCGCTAGTGCCCAGGCCCCTGAACTGCAGAACTTCCCCGGGGGTGCAGGCGCCACGTGCACACTTCAGAAATGGCCGGGCAGAGCATCGGAGTTTCTGACACCAGCTGCTAGGTGGGAACAAAACCTCACCCCAGCCTGTGAAGCTGGTTGGGTTCTTGGCTCAATCCCAGACAAACAGTTGAGGCTGTGGGTTCTCTTTGGCCTCTAACCACGAAGGTCTTTGCTCAGTGGGGAAGACACAGCCCCACTTCCAAGAGCTCCACACATCAGGCTCGTAATGGCTGGATGGAAATTAAAATGTATGTAAATGTATTTTATGTAAAGATATTTAAAGTTACCTGGCATTGTGTGTGCAAGACGTTTCCCATAGTTCAGAGTATTCAGTTTTCCATTGACAGACTGCATTCATAGTTCTACTTTACGCCCATTTAGAACGTGGGAAGTACCAGTTGCCTTCCATAAACTGGCAGTAAATACCATTTCCTGCAACACCTGTCTGTCAAACATAAGGGCAAAAGTTGTGCACTTAAAGGTTATGCAGATGATAAGCACTTGAAAGGTGTTCAACATCAGCAGTCAGAGAAATGCAAATTAGACCCACAAGGAGATATTGCTCCACACTCAGAGAATGGCTAACATTTATTTATGTTATTTTTTTATTTTTGGAGAGGTTTTTGCTATAGGGTACATGGGCTCTCCAGAAAGGGAGACAGAAAGGAAGCGAGGGATCACACTCCAGGGGGGATGGACATGCTGCAATCCCTCCCACTCTCCTCTCAGGATCTTGGGCACGCACACGTGCCCAGTGTGAGTTTAAGCTGCTGGGTTGGGGACTCAAACCACAGTCGTCTATATGAGAGTCCAACAACGTAGCCATTATGCCAACTGCTGGTCCCAAGAATGGCTACAATTTAAGAGATCAAAAACACTGAATGTGGGGGCCAGCAGGTGATGGGGTGGTTAAGGGTGCTGGACTCCCACACAGCCGACCATAGTTTGAGTCCCGGATCTGGTGGCTTCCTTTCTCACTTTCCCTTTCTCTCTCTCTCACTCTGTCACTCTCTGGTCAAATTAAAAATAAGTAAATCAATAAAATTACATTTAAAAAATTCTTTAAAAAAAAAACCACCGAATGTCAAGGATGAAGGGTGTGAACACTTGGAACTCGTGCACTACTGGTGGGTATGTAAATGGTACGATCTCTTTGGAAAACTGTTCCTGTAAAGTGGAAATATACCTACTTTGTGGTTCTTCGGTTCCACCCCCTTGCCCCCACACCCTTGCCCCTCTTCCCGTCTCCGTCACTCCCCAGCCATGTACCCGTCCCTGTTGGGAGATGGCCGTCATCCCCAAGTTGCCGATAGGCCTCCCACTCTCCCTTGACACCCCCATATGATCACTCCTCAGATCTGTCCATGCAGCTTTCTGACACTCAGCGGCCAGTCCTCTCCAACCCTCACTAATGCCTTGGGTTAGACCCTCTCATTTCTTTGTCTTAGAGACATTTTTGGTATAGGGCACATGCGCTCACCAGAGAGACAGAAGGCAAGAAATCACCCCTTGGGGAGGATGGCCACGCCACCATCCCTTCTCAGGAATTTGGGCTCACCTGCACGTGCAGCCGGCGTGCGTTTGAAGCTGCTGGGTCCAGTGGCTCCCCAAGGGAGCCCAGTGGCGGGTAGTTACGCCGTCCCTGGTCCCTCTCGTTTCT